CCCCACCCGACCCCCCACCCCCACCCCCCTAACCCCCCAGACCCCCCCCTCCTATGCTCCCAACGGCTATAGAGCCGTTTGGGAGCCTTCCCAACGGCTAGGAGAGCCTCTTCCAATTTAAAAAAAAAAATTTTTTTTTTAAAAATCTGGCCGTTGGAGGCCCGAACCGGGCCCGGCCCGGCCGGGCCGGTTCACTAATATGGAGGCCCGGGCCCGGACCGCTATACCACCAGGCCGGGTGGCCCGAACCGGTCAAGAACCGGGTGACCGGGCCGGTCCGGGCCCGCACAGTAGCGGGCCGGTCCGGTTCCGGGCCGGTTGGCCCGGCCCGAGTCCACCCCTACCTGAGAGGGGCGTTACAACATCGCTCGACCTCTGGGTACTTCACTCGAATCTATGAGTTTTGTGGACACCACTCGTTCCCTGAGTACTCCACCCGAACCTATGAGTTTTGAGGACACCGTCTAGACCCTGGGTACTCCACCTGAACCTATGATCTACCATATACCTTACTCGGCTATGGTCTATATTATATCATTACAGTATGACTAATCCAAGCCTTAACATTATATTGATGGGGTGGGTTCTACCTTGAACCGGCTCCGACTTCCGTTTTTATCAAAAAACAGGCCCCCAAGATATACTACGTACAATATATTATTTCTAATAACATATTACTAGTTTTTGTAACGCGCGATGCGCGATTAGATAATGCCCAATGTGTATTGCTTAAGATAAAGTTGTCATTTATTGCAATTTAACTTACTTAGGAAGCTTGTCTTATATGTTTTTAATTGGGTGGACTAACAATTTAACACTACTTTAGGCTAATATCCAATTCTATGTTTAGAGTATTGGATGGCCACCACTTGATGCTAATATTTTTGTAGTGTAACACATTAAAACTCAAAACACAAGAATGGCCATGGTGGGAAATAACGATTATTCACAAGGAAGACTGCCTTGATAGATTGACAATGATCTTTTCTGCCCCAAACAAAACGTAAAGAAACAAAAGCAGCAAGCTCATATATCTAAAAAAGGATTGATGACTCAAGAAGAATTACATATAGCCTCCATGATGTTCCAACTTAAGAACTACAAACAGTGATAGAGGTTGGTTGCACACCATCCAAATAACTATAATCCATGTTGGTTGCTCACCAGCCAAATAACTATAATCCATAACTCTCTCTTGTTCAACCAAACCATAGTCATGGTCCATTTCACTTGTCTGCAAAATGATAGTAGTATATAAGAACTTTTGTTTGATTGTTATACTGGTTTCATTTGAGTTTGGTGTGGATAAAGATATTTATCTAAATTAAACAATCTTTGCGTAAGAGTGTGTTTCTTGAATCAAATATATGAATAGGATAAAATAACAAGATTAAAGTTACTTTTAGACTGTGTTGTAAATTGTAATATATTTAATCTCATTTATTAAAAAACATCTACTTCATCATAGTTTCTCAATAAAAAAGAATTCATAGAATAGAAAAGCAAATCATAAGGATCAACTTCCCGAGGTTAAATGATTAAGTCATTTTTTACTAAAAAGGGGTGATATTTCCAATTAAGTTAGTAGTATATGTTAACACGGCTCAATGGGACCATTAAGTCACTATTCAAATAAACCCATTAGGTCATAAGAACTAACATGGAAAACTTTAGCACCTAATGAAGTTTCAGTTTATCATATCAATTACCTCCCAAATAAATACAAAAAGTTCAACGGCTAAACTCTTCATACCAAACTTTACTCTTAGGTAACCGAAAAACAAAATTGAAATCCAGATCCTTGAGTGATAATAATAGATCGATTTAGATTTAGTTTTATCAGTCCATTGGCCAAAGGACAAACCTTGTAAATTGCATGCTAAATTCAAGCCAGATTTCCCATGATAACATAACCTGAACCAAACAAGAGAATGAAATATTCAGATGACACTTGTCAATGCTACATTCCTTAGATTGAAACAAGTCAGGCGACCCCCTTTGTTTAATATGGTGTTTCTTATCTGGAGATCTAAATTTCATGTTTGGGTTGCTGCCTAAAGTTTTAAATTTATATTTAAATTTCAGCTGGATATGATGTTTCTTATCTGAACTCTGAAGTTCTAAATTTCATGTTCGGGTTGCTATATGTTCCAACCCAAGGCTCAAAAGTGACCCAGAAATTAATTTCTTATAAATTTTGCAGCCATGTGGCATCAACTGCTACAGGGAATTCTGGAATCCACTTGTGGTAGATGGATTTTACTACGATAGAGCCACTGGAATGGCACTGCGTGCAAGGTTGGTTTTCTTACATACACAAAGTAATTGCACACCATTCACATATGAAAATACAAACCACCATATATTAAATCTAGAATTGTTGTTGTTTTTGGGTTGACATTTTTTTAAAAGTAGACATTTTAGAAATATGATTAAAGCTTAGGATGTTTCTACTTGAACTATTTTCAATCCTAGACCAGACCGAAACAGACTTCAACAGATCAGGACAGACCAAACAAGACTTAAATAGACCAAACCAAACTTCAAAAGTTGAAAAGTACGCAGAGACCGACATTTTCCAAACCAGTTGGACCAGAGCAAGTAAAGAATCAACTAAATTAGGAGCTCCTAGTTCAGAATATTTCATTTTCCTCATTCTTTTGACCTTAATCACAACTATCTGCTAACCTACTTTGCAGGCAGCGTTAGATGGAGTGGATACCTTATCACTGTCAATAGAGCCAGATGACTCACCAAAAGAAGCACTCACATTCTTGGCGTTGTTTGAGATCTTCATGTTGGCGGCACACAAAGCTGGGGTTTTGTTGTCCAAGCTGATGGGAACCACAGTCCAAGTCCTTACGGTGTGATCTCATTTAATCCATGGACAGTAGGAGTTGCAGCCTGTGACACAGATAGGAGTTTCCATGGATCTCTCATTCTTGGACCTTGGTGATGGTAAAAATATCAGTGGTTTGTCCATTGACATTACAGGCTTGTCAGGTTTGTCCATTTCTCTTTTTTCTTTCATTGACTCATAAAAATCAGTGGTTAAAATAGCAAGCTATATATCCTTCTCATATAAAAACAAATGACAGTAAAGTAGTTGTTGTGGATTTACTTTCTGAGCATATGAAATGTGGTTCTAAACCTATAATTCTGCAGCTTTGGAAATGTTTGCAAGAAAGGGAAGCAGTTGTCTTCAGAGTAAGATATTACATTTATTCAATTTGGATATTTGGGTAAAGCTATTCATGTGTCATATGATATCATTTGATATATGTTTAGAGGTGGGGAGTTTCTAGCATGTGAAGCTGCTACTAAGAAAACAACTCAAGGTGCAAAGAAATATAAAGGCTTAAATAATTCCATTGATTAAGATAATGAAAGTAGATAGCTTGAATAGTGAAAATGACCTAGATTATTGGATAATGACCGCAGTCACCCAATCTGCTGGCCCGCAGCACGGCAGCAGTCACCGCAACAGTCGACCAGGGGCCAAGGCAACCTCCGTCCTTTGTGACCTCTGTCTAGGCCTCTAGGTCACCACCGCAGCACGCCAGCAGTCCAGCACCGCAGCTCCTTGGCTCCGCAAGCCACCAGTTCAGCCCTGTTCATCCGTTCAGCACATCAGCATCGGTGCACCGCACGCCGCCTACTTGCCACCGAAGGTTCAGAATCGGCCCTACAGGGAATGTGCCAAAGAGAAGAACCCTTCAATTTCTACTGAGTGCGTTAGCTTGAGAGAGACCTCCATTTGAGCTGTGGGCTTCTCAACGGACAGGTTCCGTTGAAGAGTATTATATTACTCAAACCAAAATCAGAAAAAAGCTCTTTAACAGCTCAAATGGAGACCGAATCTTCGGCATCAGCGGAGATTGGCTTGTCGAGAAGCCCACAGCTCGATAATTTGTCGGTCCAGTACATCGTGTTGAGGAGAGACCTGATCGATGTGAAATAATGGGAAAGGGGTACTCCAATAGGAGTCCTGACAGATATATTTATAATAGAAGAGTTGCCAAAATACAAAGTATTCCTAAACAGATATTAGGCAGATTCCTAAATATCTATTAGGTAGATTCCTAATTATATTAGCCTATTACACCCCCTCAAACTGTGCGGGAGATACAACGCGCAGGTTGTCTTTTAAAAAAATGAAATTGCAAACTAAAAAACAAAACTCTTAGTAAATATATCTGTGAGCGGAAGATTAGAAGGCACATCTTTGACAATAAGATCTCCATGAGAATATATGTCTGCAGCAGCCAGCGGCGAACTCAACAGCGCGCTTGAAGCAAGCACCGTGGTCAGCGACGCAGAGAAGGTGGGCTGCGCGGACATAGGCAGCAGCAGGCGGCGAACTCAACGGCATGCTGGAAGCAAGCACCGTGTTCAGCGACGCGAAGGAGGTGATCTGCGCCATATTAGCCGCGCTCATCTTCAAAGGATTAGAGACTACCGTAAATGTGGCGGCAGTCGACCCTGAGGCGGCGGCGGCTATAATAAGGTTCATGGGAACCGAAAAAAAGAAAAAAAAAACTGTATCTAAAAACCTAAGCTCTTGATACCATGTGAAATAATGGGAAATGGGTACTCCAATAGGAGTCCTGACAGATATATTTATAATAGAAGAGTTGCCAAAATACAAAGTATTCCTAAACAGATATTAGGCAGATTCCTAAATATCTATTAGGTAGATTCCTAATTATATTAGCCTATTAATCGAGGCCTCTGGGGAGCATAATCACTCAAGGCTGCCATGCGTCAGTTTCTACAATCTGGTACCACAAGTCGGGTACTGTGATCACTAAAGATGACGGAAAGAAACACTAACGGAAGACGAACGAAAATTTGAGAGAAAACATGAATGGTACAACACCTAAAGCGGAATTTACAATTTAATAATGCTATGGAGGTACACCAACAAATTTTTCATACCCAAAAGGGTATTAACCCTCATTCATCTTTATTAGTTTGTAGAGATATTTTGCTAGTATTTATTTTGTTGTAGAGATATTATTATTTCTAATTTCTAAATTTGAACGGTGACTCGGAATGACAACCATTCGGCTTAGGAATCCTCGGAAGGATTTGTGTTTATGTTAGAAAAGACCGTTTCAGAAATTCAGGGACGATCGGAATGAATGCTTAAAATTCAAGTAAACTTGCTTGAACACGCACGTGCTGGTTCGCGACTACGTCGCCGGCGATCAAATGGACGTTGAGAGATCGTCCCTTTGCAATTGCGTCGTGAATTTCCTGTTGGAAGAGAACTACCTCTTAACGGCATTCGAGCTTCTGCACGAGCTTCTCGACGATGGGCGTGACAACCAGGCTATTCGCCTTAAGGAATTTTTCGCCGATCCAGTCCAGTTCCCTCCTGATCAGATCTCTCGTTTCAACTCTCTTCGAGGTCCCCATATTCTCTTACTCGCTCTAGCTTGCTAGCTCGATCATTGTATTGTTATCGGTTTCTCTCTCTATGTGTGTGTGTCTGTGTCTGTCGTTATAGCATTACTAATGGAATCTAGTTAGTTTTTTTCAAAGCTTCGCAAAATGCTCTGCATCTGCAAATCATTTCGCTAATTTTTACGCGCTTATGCATTTTTAATTTTTTTGGTGTTTAAATTTTTTACATTACCTAATTCAATGGAAAATAAACTCAGTTGATGGAGGCTTCTTCAAAGTCCAATCATTCACAGCATCAATCTTTTGAGTGCATAACTTGGGTGATCATTTTAAAATTCCTGATAGTCAGCAGTGTGTAATTACCAAGCAAGATTGGCTGAAATAATTGAATCATTCTCAATGGGTATCTGGGCATGTGATTATGCTATCTTTTTTTGCAGTTTTGATTGTGCATGTGTAGTCAGAAGAAGGATTTTCTCATATTGGTTTCTAAAGGGGGTGTGGTATATTTGAGCTCATTTGAAGTTGAGTACATTTTTCTTGTGGACACATGGACGTGTATAGAGTCTAGTTCATTTGTCAGTGTTGACATATCTTGTTGTATACTTTGTGTTCTCATTGATCTCCATGCTTGGATCTTAAGTAAGTATTTCTTTTTGCGAGATCAGTTGCTGACCCCCAGACTCTTCTTGAAGAAAGAGAGACAATAGATGAAAAATTGGCGCTTGCTGAGTATGATCTTCGATTAGCTCACGAAGACATCACTAAGCTTAAGAATGATTTGCAGAGGAGAAATCGGACTGTCCTCGACCAAAACAGTGGTAATATATGCATCCGGTTTGTCTTCAAGGATTATGCAATGGATTATGTAGTGTATAACCTGTCTTGTGTTTTATTCACACATTCTCTCTTTTCTCCATTTTGTATCATTTTCCATCATTTCCAATGGAGCCAAAGACTCACTATTTTTGGGCTTCGTAATATGATGGAATAAAACAAAATGACTCACCAAACTGTGTGCGCTTCCTTGTTATGAAGCAACAAGCGGTCCATGGAATTTTCGACGCGATTTTCATCATGAGTCATCCGGAAACCGTCTCTACCTGCTTAGTGCAGGCGTAAGACTACGTACATCCGACCCCCCCTTACCCCGCTGTAGGTGGGAGCCTTTGCGGCACTGTTGTTGTTGTTGTTGATGTTGTTGTTGCTGTTGTTTGTTTTCACTATTGTTATGGAGACATCCAACATTCCAACATGACTGTCATGCCTAGAGTTTGTATCATATTTACTTTCTTCCTCTTTGATTGACTTGGATTATGAGACTGTCTTCTGGTATCATCTTAATTTGTTGCTTAAATAAAGTCACTCATGGATTAATTTTTGATCATATGTCTCCTGTCTCTGAGTTTTCCTGTCTATATCATTTCACAGTATCAAAGGAACATGTATCTGAAAAAATGGACACCGAGTTTCAGCAGCAGAAAAAGGAAATTTCATTCTCTGATTTGGGTCCTTTGAAGGAAAATGAACGCAAAGATCTCAACTTTGCTGTAAAGGAGTATTTGTTGATGGCAGGGTACCGTTTGACTGCTATGACATTCTACGAGGAGGTATTCAGTCATAATAAACAATAAGTGGTTTTTTATATCTAAATTTTTGCAGTGGAACTCAATCATAAATTCTTTAGCTGCCATGAGCATTCAATTATACTCCATTTTACACTATTGCTCCTTGAACCCTGAACACCAAAACCTATTTTCATGACTTCATGTATTTATGATCATGGATAAAAAATTAGATGATTGATAGATGTCTTTCCTTTTTGTCAAAAGGATATCTTCCCATTTGTTTTAGGCAATATGTTTTTATGTTCCCTCTTTTTTGTCCCAAATGTCATGGAACACTCACACACACATGTACTTAAAAAGAAAAATAATACAAACGGCATACATATAGTTTAACATCTAGCACATGACAGGCCACAGACAAGAGTTCAGATTTTTCGCCAAACTCATCTGCATGTGTCCCAGATGCTTTACGCCATTACTACTACCAATACATGTCTTCCTCCAGTGAAGCTACCGAGGTACAATTTGAACCATGGTTTCCACTTTCCACAGACTAGCTGTTGACTCAGAGAGTGTTGATTCAACCCATTGTTGTAAAATTGAAAACTTGTAAATTTGCAATATCTACTTTTTAAATTGAGATGGGCATGCGCTCTAACTAGATTCTATTTCAGGAGAAAATAACTATGCTTAGAGAAAATGAATCATTGCTTAAGGAAAATGAAAGGCTGAAGCATGAAAAGCAGGCCTTGTTTAAGAGTAAGGAAATGATAGATGCCCGCGTCATCTCTTTGACAAAGTCCTTGGAGACCCTGCAGAAGGATATTAAGGACAAGGAGATACTGGTATTTTTTTTACTTTTAATTTATGTTAATGTAGTTGTTAATTCCATTTTGGCATTTAACTACTGTTTCCCCCCCTTTTCTCTCATACTTCTAAATCGACCTGATTTAGTCTCTAAGTATTGAAAGTATGTCAATTTTAATCCTTTGTACTCTTAGTGTACTAAAGGTCGTTGAGCTTAAATAGTCAAGGAACAAAATCTGCTTTATCTAGATATTATTAAATATTATTTGATATTAATAATGTTTAGAGATATACTCCCTCCGTATTTTAATGTTTGCTACACTTTCCTTTTTTGGATGTATTCAAAAATTTGCTACAATTTCCCCTTTTGGTAAGTTTTTCCTTTAAAAAATACTCAATTATCCTTACTTTTTCTACTTTTTATCTTCTTTTTCATACTTTTTCACCATCTCTCCTACTCTTTCTAGTTTCTACACTATTCATTACCCATTTACCACTACTATTTCACTCTTAAAAAATGTACCAACACCTATTGTAGTAAACAAAAGAATATAGAGGGAGTATATTGTTGCAAAAAGAGAAATAATACTATAGTTAAGGGATCAAAATTGGAAGTAACTCCATAACTAATGTAGCAGCATTTATAAGTTACATTTTTTTTTACTATATTGTTGTATTTCCAGGTCCATGACTTAAAGCACTCTCTGGATGGACAAAGGAAAGAACTGAACAACTGTAGAGCTGAAATAACATCACTTAAAATGCAAATTGAGGAAGCTCATTCTCGACAAAATTTATTTGCCAGTAATGAACTTTTAAAATTTCCTTTTGGTGATGAGTCTACCAATGAAATGAAGTTGCTAGTGAGTGACATTGAGAGTTTGAAAGAGGCAGGAAACTCTGGTGATACTGAAGCTCTAGAAGCTAGTCACATGGAGAGCAATGCTGAGGAAAAAGATGAAGATGGAGAGTCATATGATAATGGTGCTCCAAAATGTACAGATGATTTCTCATTTGGTGGTTTGAGAAATCAAGATTCTGATTTGATGATAGACCCACTCTCTAATGCTGTCAATAAACCTGAGGACCTTTTAGTGGCTCCGGATGAGAGTAGTTTTCCCGAAAATATTGAAAATTTCAACAGTGAACCACACATAGAAACATATTCACCAATGAAACATGACAGTCTTGCGGCTGAACCCATCCCAGATAAGATGGTGACTTCTCTTATTCAGTGAAAACATACTATGTTTACCTCGTGAGGGATTATCTCATACCAACCTAATGTTGTTTTTTACTTTCAGGCTTTGGAGACAATACAGATAGTTTCAGATTCATTGCCTAAAATTGTACCTTACGTTTTGATAAACCATAGGGAGGTGTGTGAGATGTTTTTTCTTCCCTTTCATTTCACTAGTGCTAAAACTAAAATTTATATATTACTTAGTTCATAGATGGTTGCATTTTTGTAGGAACTACTTCCTTTGATAATGTGTGCGATTGAGCGACATCCAGAAAGCAGCACTCGAGATTATTTGACTCACACGCTATTCAACTTAATCAAGCGCCCAGATGAACAGCAGAGGCGGATTATTATGGATGTAAGAATGTGAAAGCTGTGCATTTAGGGTTTCTATTGTTTTTGGTACTTGAACTATCTGCATTTTTAATTTCACCTTTAGGCTTGTGTTACTCTTGCCAGAAATGTTGGGGAGATGAGAACAGAAACAGAACTACTTCCTCAATGTTGGGAACAAGTGAGAATTCGTTCTTCTGCTGGAAATATAACTTTCGTACTCTGCCTATTTTGTCGTCTTATATTTTATTCTGATCTTGTGGCGTGTAGATCAATCACATGTATGAGGAGCGTAGGTTGCTGGTTGCTCAATCATGTGGAGAGCTTGCTGAATTTGTTCGACCAGAGATTCGTGATTCCCTTATCTTATCCATTATTCAGCAGCTGATTGAGGATTCTGCAACGGTTGTTCGTGAGGCGGCTGCCCATAACCTGGCTTTGCTGCTACACCACTTTCCAAATACAGATAAATATTTCAAGGTCAGCTTCACTACATATGCTTCGAGGCAATCATGGAGAAGAAACCTGACTTGTCAGAATTGCCTGCAACGTAAGCTCCGTGGTCTAGAAATGGAGCATTTCCATGGTCCCAATATGATGAGTCAAGAAAAATGTATAATAAAATCAGAAAAATGGAGTTGTCCAATCATGTCTTCCCATTTCTGTTTAGGTTGAGGAGATTATGTTTCAATTATTGTGCGATCCATCTGGAGTCGTAGTCGAAACAACCATGAAAGAACTCGTTCCGGCTTTGGTAACCTGGGGAAAAAATTTGGATCATATGTCACAACTTCTACTCTCTCATATCTTGCAATCAGCTAAGGTATTATGGTCTATGTACAAGCTTCTTTTGAGATTCACATGCCTCGATGGCTCAATGATATCATGGATCTAAGTTACTCTTTTGTGCAGCGTTCTCCCCCTCTTTCAGGAGTCGAAGGTTCCATTGAATCACATCTTCGAGTTTTAGGTGAACGCGAACGCTGGAATATTGATGTGCTGCTGCGGTTGCTGGTAGACTTGGTTCCACATCTCCACCAGTCAGCTATTAAAACCTGTCCTTTCCCATCAGTCACAGATTCTGAACAAATGTTCTCAATCTCTCTGTTTCAACAATATGCAGAGTAACCTCTCCTGACTCTTATTGGTATGTATGCATCATTTTTTTCTTATACTATCTTCACGCAAGTCTTATTTAATTTTTCAGCGGACGAGTAGAGTGGCCCTCATTTGACTGGCTGCATATTGACTTCTTTCCTGCGTTAATTGAACTGGCCTCTTTGCTACCTCAAAAGGAAGATAATTTGAGAAGTCGTATAACAAGGGTATTTTGTTTAGCTTTTTATTGGTTCGTATTTTGTGTTATTGGTTTGTCCATAATGCACCAACTTTTTAACCATGTGGTTTTACCACAGATCCTGTTGGAGGTATCACATCATTTTGGTGAATATTATCTTTCACATATCATGCTTCCTGTATTCTTGGTATCAGTGGGGGATAGTGGGGATTTGACATTCCTGCCAACTAAATTCAAGTCAAGGATGAAAAGTAATTAGTTTCATGAATATGTTACAACTTACTACCATTAGATTTTTATGTGACCTGTATTTTGTAATTTTTTTAATTTTGTAATTTTTATAAATTGACGGTTGAATGTCGTTTTATGACACAGGTTTGAGGCCAAAAACTGCTATAGCTGAGAGGCTCGCCCTACTGTGTGTTCTGCCTCTTCTCTTGGCAGGTGTTTTAGGCTCTCGTGCTACAAAGGAACAATTGACGGAGTATGTGAGAAGTTTGTTAATCCGTAGTTCAGATCCAGAAAATAAAAAAGTGAAGCATGAGATTGTCAATGCTGTTCGATTCCTTTGGTTTGTCCTTTATATATTTATTTACGTTTTGGTTTACATGAATGGACCTTTTGCCACTTGATTTTTCACCTGACTTATGCTATTTGCTGTGGATAGCACATATGAAGAACATCACAATATGATTTTTAACATCCTCTGGGAAATGGTACTGAGTTCCGATATAAGCATGAAAACAGATGCTGCAAATGTTTTCAAAGTTATTGTAAGAGCTTCATCTAGCTCACCTTTTCCAGAGTCTAGTTATTGTAAAACAATCTCCATTATGTTGTTTTCTATTGACCCCCCATATCTCATTACTTGATAGGTTCCATATATTGATGCAAAAGTTGCCTCAACTCATGTTTTGCCTGCCCTTGTAACTCTTGGTTCTGACCAAAATTTGCATGTGAAATTTGCCAGCATTGATGCATTTGGAGCAGTAGCTCAGCATTTCAAAATGGATACGGTACAAATTTATCTTTCTTATGTTTGCCAGTGCTGTTCTGTTTCGTTCTAGCTGTTTTGGTCTCTTCACACCACCATTTGTGTTCTTAGATTGTTGACAAAATACGTGTTCAAATGGATGCTTTTATTGATGATGGATCACATGAAGCTACAATTGCTGTAATTAGAGCTCTTGCAATTTCTGTGCCACGTACAACTGAAACACTTCGAGATTATATCCTTGTGTCTCTTTGATTTTCTGATGCTTGATGTCTCATACTCCCTATGTATTTTTTTATTACTTGATCCATCAGGTTTTCAGGATTTAAAAAAAGAACATTTAAGATAGAAAAGATGAAAAAGTAAGGCCATAAGGGTATTTATGTATTCGGATATTATGATATTTTCCAAATTAGGAAAATAGAGATAGTATTAATAATCTTCCTAAAAAGGATCTCGGAGTAACAAAGAGAAAACAGAGGGGGAGATAAAGGTTTTAACGGTTCCCCCCAAATGGCCAAATGCTCTCTTTAACATTTTATTATACATCTTCTCTCCAAGATCTTCCAATTTTCAACTGCACCGACCCCTTCTAATGATGTGATGCGCCGTCGTGAGAGAGCAAATGTGTTCTGTGAAGCAATTCGTGCGCTGGATGCTACAGGTTCTGTTAAATAAATAAATAAATAAATAAATAAAATGCATACGTTTACGTTATCGGTCTATATTTTGGGATTTAGTGTGCGCCACATTTCATCTCCTTGTTGCTTTTGCATCTCTGATCTCCTGCAGATCTTCCCACTTCTAGTATTAGAGACTTGCTCTTGCCCACTATCCAGAACCTTCTTAAAGATCTTGATTCTATTGATCCCGCTCATAAAGAAGCTCTTGAAATTATATTGAAGGAAAGATCAGGTGGTACATTGGATACCATTAGCAAGGTGATGGGTGCGCATTTGGGAATTGCATCATCTGTTACCAGTTTTTTTGGTGAAGGTGGTCTATTAGGAAAAAGAGAAAGTGGAGACACATTGCCAACTGCACCAGAGCCTGTAGCTACCCCATTGAAGCAAGTGGCAATGGCATCACCAGCTGAAGACACAAGATTAAGACGGATCATGAGGGGTGGCTTCACAGACATGCTTAGGGGAAAGCAGAAGGGAAATGAGGAAAGTCCGCCTACTCAATAAGGAAGTTTATCTAAAAAAAAAGTAAGGAAGCTCTACACACATGCGCACTCGCACACACATGTTTTGGTTCAAATAAAAAATGCATCAATGTCATTCATATTAATGCATTGAATAATTAGATGATACTGAAATCCATGAGAATGTGATATTAATCACTTAGGATGTTTTCTTTTGGACTGAAATTTGTTGGTCTGGTCTGTTTAAGTTTGGTCTGGTTAAGTCTGATCTGGGTCTGAAAACAGTCCAGAAGAAAACATCCATAGCTACAATTTGATGTCATAAATTTCACCAAAATCAATGCAAAGGTTGAATTTTTGTTTTCATATAACTAGGCGTCTTCCTTTGAACTCAGCCCTATATAGAATTTGACCTTTGCATCTTTATGTGATTTTTTTTCCAGATCAACTCGCGGCAGATTGTATGGTGTTCCCTCTCTGTTATAGACCTTAGACTTTGGTATATGCCATTCGTTTATTTTTTCTTTCTATTTTCTCCCAAAGAGAATAATAATAATGTAATTGAAGAAAATTCACAATTCAGTAATAGAGAAAGATGTTTTGAATGTAAGATATATGTATGCTAAATTGGTAATTCACTTGACAGTTTTGGTTGGCAGAAACCTCCTTGCGCAATCAACGTTAATTGTCCTGCTTTGTCTTGCTAATTTTAAAAGTTTCTTTTGGCAAAATAACTTGCAAGATTAAAAATGTGTTAGAAAGATGAATGAAATAGGGAATATTTGATGAGACAATCTTTAACGGGATGGAGAAAGGATGGAGAGCGCACTAGTTTAGTTTGTGTACAGTGGGATGGGTATACTTTGGGACTTTGGGATGGATTGGTTGTGTTCCGGGCTGGTTCCAGGACAAGCCGGTCCATGGTTTTGAATGTGGGGAACTGGTACCGAAACCGAGAAGGGCTGGTACTCGATGGTGGAGCCAGCAAAAATGATCCAAAAAATGATCCAGGGGGTCAAGACTTAACTAGGGATGGACTCGGTTCGGGCCGGGCCCGGTTCGGGCCTTGAACCGGCCGGGACTCGGTTCGGGCCGGGCCCGGTTCGGGCCTTGAACCGGCCGGGCCTCGGTTCAAGGTATGGGAGGCCCGGAACCGGGAAAACTCGGGTCCGGTTCGGGCCGGGTCACCCGCCCGGTTCACGGGCCGGGCCGCCCGCCGGGCCGGGCCTTATATATATTTTTTTAAATTATATATTATATTATTATAATAATTCTTATTAAAAACAAAATTCAAGTGCATTTATTTGAAATAGGAAGTACATTTGAGAATTGAGAAAACAGTAACAATATAAAATACATTTTCTAATAAATATCAATTGGGATTTCCGCCACCGTTGGTTGTTGTTTTGCCTTTGTCACATGACTTTATATGTTTTATTGGCATCCTGACTCCGTGTGAATGACCTAAGCAACACTCTTTCTTGCACCACCTGCAAGTTGGCCACCACAGTCCGATCTTCGGGTCCTTCCACTTATCAATATTGTTTTTGCATAAAAGAAGAATTGCTTTCCATCTTTAAAATGGTAGATGTATAAGTAGAAATGTAGGATAATAAGAGAAGATGAAGATGGAGAAGAGTTGGAGAAGAGTTGGATAAGAGGTGTAGAAAAATGGTAGAAAATAGATGTATTTATAGATTTTTTTGAACCCCACCCCCACACCACCACCCCCGGGACCCCCTGCCCCCCACCCTAAGCCCCAACGGCTATATAGCTGTTTGGGAGCAATTTTGTATTTCAAAATGTTTTTAATTTTTTTTTTGAAAATTATACATATTGTAAAATAAGTTAATTAATTTAATGAATTAAGTAAAACTATTTTTACTTAGAAAAGTGATTTGATTTATAATTTACAAATGTTACAAAATAGGTGTATAAGTATTTAAGCAAATTACATATTGAAGTTGTAACTTGTAAGTTTGTAACCAATTAATTAATTTACATATTAATATTACATATTTTAATTTAAAAACAGCCTTTAGATTTTACAAAAATAATTTCAAGTTGTAAGTTATAAGTTTGTAACCAATTAATTAATTTGAGAAGTTCTACATATGAAAAAATAAACGCATATTTATTTGAAATATGAAGTACAAGTTTACAAATTAATTTTATTGAATTGATTATTGAATACATTTTTTTTTAGAATTATTGAATTGATGTACACAATAATATAAAATAATTCAAGTATATTTATTTCAAATAAGAAGTACAATTGAGAATTAGGATGCATTTAAAAAATGTAATACATTTTGTAATAAAAAATCAATCGGAATCTCCGCCTTCGGTGGTTGTTTCCTCCATAAAGTGGCGGGTGGGAGCGATGGTCATTTCTTGAGTTCTTCGTTGGGCCTTCAACCAATCGTGGAAGCAAACTAGCGTCTCAAGAGAGCTCGGGCTCAACCTCGTTCTATAATCAGTTAGGACGTTGCCGGCCGCACTAAATTCTTGTTCCACGGCAACTGTTGATATCGACATTGCTAGCACTTGCTTAGCCATCTTTGATAAAACCGGGAACGTTCTTTCATTTTCCTTCCACCACTTAAGAACGTCAAAGTCATCCCCAACTTCATAATCAACATTCAATGTTAGATACAAAGAAAGCTCGTTAACTGAGCTTTGTTCAGTAGCGGGAATTGCTCTACTTTTTTCATAAGAGAACCAAATGCAGATTTTAAAAGTGATTTTCCTTTAGATGAAGAAGATGTTCGCGGCATGGGAGGGGGTGCATTACCATACTGTGCATGAAATTCATTATACAATTGATGAAATAAATTACTAACCTCGTTGTATTCTTGTTTAGGGTCGATGGGATTATCATCGAACTCTTGAGTTGGAAAAAAACAAGCATAATAGTAATCTCTACAACTTGGCAACGAGGCAAGTTTATAACGAGGATCAAGAACAAATGCAATACCATATATATGCGGAACATGTGAATAATATTTTAAAAACTTTTGTTTCATGAAATCACAAAAATAACTAACGTAAGCGGCATCGGAAAATTCTAACAAAAGCGCCGGCGAGATTAACAACTTCAACAAAAAATTCGTTTGCGGTAGGTTTATAAACATGACTAAAAGTTTGAGTTGCGTTATTAAAATATACCAAAACATTAACAATTTTTTCACAAATGTCGATGTCAGCCGGGTTTATAATATAGTTACTAGTTTGTGTTACAAAAGGAAAATATTGAAAGAATCTTTATTATTTTGCCTGGTCCTGAATATGTCGAACCATGCCAAATATATACACTTGGAGCATGTCCCGTATACAAACAAGAAACGTAACGTACAGGCTAACAACTAGGAGAATAAAAGGCAAGCTAATAAAGGCCTAGGATTCTAAGCATAAATAACTACGTACGTACAAGAATGAAACGCTACAAATAAAATGTTACAATAATTATAATACGTGTAGTAATAGCGAAATAATAAATTAATAACCAACACCCCCCCTCAAGATGGAGCATGAGGGTCACAAATGCCCATCTTGGCAAGTAGATGAGAGAATTGTTGAGCGCCAAGTGCTTTAGTGAAGAGATCCGCGGGCTGTTCAGTAGATGGTGTATATGAGGGAGAAATTGTGCCGGCCTGAATATGATCCCGTACAAAGTGACAATCAAGTTCTATGTGTTTGGTGCGTTCATGGTACACAGGATTGGAGGCAATGTGAAGAGCCGCTTGATTGTCACAGTAGAGTCGCACCGGTTTGGAGTGCGTTATACCCAACGACCGAAGGAGGTTGCGCAGCCAGATAAGTTCACAGGTCACCGTGGCCATGGCGCGATATTCCGCCTCTGCGGAAGAGCGTGAGACTGTCGCCTGTTTTTTCGTACGCCAAGATATGGGAGAATCCCCAAGAGAAACAAAATATCCAGTTACAGAACGACGTGTGACCGGACATGTTGCCCAATCAGCATCACAATAACCTGTGAGAGAGAGAGTAGAATTTGAGCGTAACAAAATCCCTTGACCCGGGTGACCTTTCAAGTATTTCAACACACGTAGTACTGCTTCCCAGTGAGCCACCCTTGGACGTTGCATGAATTGAGAAAGGATATGAACGGAGTAGCTAATGTCGGGTCTAGTTAATGTGAGATAAATAAGTTTCCCGACTAGTCTTCTATAGCGCTCCGGATCCGAATAATAGGGTCCATCAACGGACTGTAATCGGTGGTTTTGCACCATCGGAAAAGAGGCCGGCTTTGTACCGGTCAACCCTGTTTCAGCCAAAATGTCAAGCACATATTTACGTTGGCATAAAAAAATTCCAGTGGAGTTTCGGGCAACTTCAATTCCAAGAAAATATTTCATAACCCCCAAGTCTTTCACTGGGAATGAGGTGGAAAGGTATTTTTTAAATTCCTGGATCAAGTGCTTATCGTTTCCGGTAATAAGTAAGTCATCCACGTAGACTAAGACACACAATATCCGATTTTCTCGCCGCAAAGTAAAGAGTGAATAATCGGCATGTGATTGGGAAAACCCATATGCTCGCAAAGAGGTACTAAGTTTGGAAAACCAGCATCGTGGTGCCTGCCGAAGCCCATAAAGAGAGCGAAGCAAGCGACACACCTTGCCTGAAGAGGAGGCTGAATATCCCGGAGGCAAGTGCATATAAACTTCTTCACGAAGATCCCCATGCAAAAATGCATTGTCGACGTCCATCTGATGTAGTTCCCAATGACAAGTGGCGGCGACCGCTAAAATGGTACGAACCGTCACCATTTTAGCAACGGGGGCAAAAGTCTCGCTATAGTCAATCCCTTGTACCTGTCTGTTACCGCAAACTACAAGTCTTGCCTTGTAACGTTCCACCGAGCCATCACTTTTATACTTTATTTTATATACCCATTTGCAATATATGGCCTTCTTGCCTTGAGGCAAGTCTTGAATTTTCCATGTACCAGTTTGCTCCAAGGCTTGGAGTTCACGTTGCATTGCATCCCGCCATAACGGGTCTCGAACAGCTTCTCCAAAATTAGTTGGCTCTTTATGCAAAGAAATGGCTGCAAGAAAAGCTCGGTGCGGAACCGAAAAGTGATTATATTTTACGTAATTAGATATGGAATAAGGAGTACCTGATTCAGCCGATGAAGCGGAGTGAACAACGGGGGGAGAGTTTAATATGACGGTGTTCATTTGTACTTCATAATCCCGATGCCATGCTGGAGTTCTACGCTGCCGCTGCCCTCTCTCGTACCGTTCATTATTTGTCAACTGGGAAGTTCCCGAAATTGTGCCAGAATTATCCACTCCAGCCGACGTGGAAGTCAACTCTGCATGTGAGTCCCCTTGTTCGCAATTTCCGTCGCAGTCCTCGCCAGTGCTTGGTGTAATTTCTGGTTGACGCGTGCTTGCCTCATGTGGACCGTCATGTGCATGGTCATCCACACATGCATGCATGTGTGACTCCAATAATTGCCCCCCCTGCAGGTTATCCTTATCCGAAATTGGCTTCTCCAATTTGTAAGGAAAAGAGTTTTCAACAAATCGTACGTCACGTGATACCAAATGTTTATGATTTTCCAAATCATAAACCTTCCACCCCTTTTGGGAATAAGCATATCCCAGAAAAACGCACCTCACCCCTCGTGGTGCAAATTTATCACCTGTTCTGTCTTTAGCATGAATATAACATAG